TGTTCAAAAATATCCGGGTTTCTCTTATATCCGGGTTACACTAATATATATATATATATATATATATATATATATATATATATATATATTCTATTTGTGTGTGTTTGTGTCCTGTTCAAACTGTTCATAATCTATCTATCCATCTATCTATATATTAAAACTATCCCAGTCTATTCATATCTATCTACCTATTTCATTGTTCATATATATATATATATATATATATATATATATATATATATATATGCAATCTGTTCATATTCATCTAATATCTCAGTCTGTTTACATATATCTCATTGTGTTTATATATGTTATATATATATATATATATATATATATATATATATACAAATCTGTTCATATCTATCTAGCTGTCCTTCTTAGTCTGTTCATATCTATCTATCTATCTATCTATCTATTATCTGTGTTTCTACTGAACGTGAATTTTATCTCTCCTTCACTCTCTCTCTTTTTCTATATATATATATATATGTGTGTGTCTCTGTGTGTGTGTCTGTGTTTATCTGTGTGTGTGTCAATGTGTGAATTTTCAGAAATAACTAAATCTATTTCTATAAAAGCAGATTGTAAATAGAGACAAGACTAAAACTTAACTTTATCGTTTTGTCGTCCGCTGATGGAGCTTATCAAGTCGGCAAATGTAAATTTGATTTATATATATATAATATATATATATATATATATATATATATATATATATATAAAATTAATTTGTATCGAAACACTATTTTTTTGAAAATAATAACAAAACTACTAAGGAAACCTTTGATTATTTACCTAACGAGTTCTTTCCTTTTTCTATATGTTTTAACAATCAATTTTAACACACACACACACATTTACATATAAATATATATATATATACTTATATATATTATATGTTTTTTTCTGTGCATGGTTGTGTGCATGCTTATTGTGTGTGTCTGTGTGTGTGTGTGTTCTGTGTATGTATGTGTATTGTGTGTTTGTGTCTGTTTCTGTGTTTTTGCGGGTCTTTGTGTGTATTTATGTATGTGCGTGTGTGTGCTTGTGCGTATGTGTCTGTGTAAATGTGTGTGCGTGTTTGTGCGCATGTGCGTGAGTGTGTCAGTGTTTTTTGTGTGCTTGCTCGTTTGTTATTTTGTGTGTCTTTGTGTGTGTTCGTTTGGGGGGGATTGTGTATGTGTGTGTGTGTGTTTTTGTCTGCGTTTGTGTGTGTTTGTATGTGTATATGCGTTTTTGCGTATGTGTGTATCTGTTTTTGTTGTGTGTCTTTGAGTGTTTGTGTGTGTGTGTGTATTACGTCTATGTGTAACGGTGTTTGTTGGTGCTTGTGTTCTTTTTTTGTGTGTATGTGTTCGCTTTGGGGTGTGTGCATTTGTGTGTGTGCGTGGCTGTATTTTGGGTTTTGTAAATAATGTCTGTGTGTTTTAAATTTTTTACGTTGATTTTTTGTGTGCTTGTGTACGTGCGTAAATTTTAAATATATAAAAAACATCTGATTTTTTTTAGACATTGTGTGTGTTCGTTTTTTGGGGTGTGCGTTTGTGTGTGTGTCTGTGTTTTTGGGTCCGTTTGTGTTTGCGCGTGTGTGTGTGTGCACGTTTTTGTCTGTTTGTCGTTGTATATGTGCGTCTATATGTGTGTTTGTGTGTTTTTTTGTGTGTGTTCGTTTTTTGGGTTCTGTGTTTGTGAGTGTGCCTGTTTTGGGGTGTGTTTGTGTGTGTTTGCATGTGTGTATATGTGTGTTTGTGTGAGCGCGTGTGTGTCGCTGCGTGTGGGTCGGTGCGTGTGTGTGTGTTTTCTTAAATACAACGGAACTTGTTTGTGAAGGGTTTTTTTTGTGTGTTTTCTCGGATGTCTTGCTGTGTTTGTTTCTTTTTTTGCCGATGATATGCGATTTAATTGGACGATTATTGGGTGAATGACAAACTATACAACCACTACAATATCGCATCGGTTAACTTCCTATTTAACCTTAAATTATCCGTAAATTCCATCAAATCGCATAATCACTAATCAACACTGCAGAAAAAAAAAACACAACCAGAGATCCGAGAAATCCTTTTCCAATATGACAAAAAATATGCAAAATCATATGAACTGTAAAAATGACTGTATATTCAAGAAACATTAAGCATAAAAAAGTAAATAAACATGCATCAATAACATAGCTGCCTCCAATGATTCGGTATAAATTTTCGATACCTAACGTTTAAAATGAATTTTTAAAGATGAAAAATCATTCCTAAAGATTTTATTTAAGCTTTAATTGAGAGATAAATGATTAAGTTTACTATTTCCAGTAAGTAAAATATTCTGGAGTATTTCAAGCAGAAATTATAGAGATCAAAATCTCAACTTTTTGACCGATTTCAGATAATTTTTCTTAAAAGCGGCCATTTTCGTAATTTTAAGAAATTTGTAAACAAAACAAAATTATCGGATTTAAAAAACTTCCATAAATAAAATGTATATTTGTAACACGTTATTTGAGTAAAATTAGCAAATTTAATGTTAAATTAATATGATTTGAAACGAACATCACTTATTTATAGCATAAAAAAGTAATAGACAAGTATTTATTGACGATTATTCCTATTTTTTTAATGAAATCTTTTATTGACGAATCGATAAAAAAAGGTAATCACTAAATGATTTTAATATTTTTAGTGGTTGTTTTCATAAAATTGAGGGGTTTAATAAATATAAAAACTATTTTTAAATGACTTTCAAAAAAAATATATCGAAAAAAATGCAGGATGAAAATGTATGTGTGTGTGTAACGAATGCACGGCCGCAATTTTCGACGGATTTGTTCAAAATTTACATGCACATGCTCCAAGTTAATAAGAAATTAAGACCGACATTGTATTTCCCAACTCCTATCGATAGTGGAAATAATCAATTTTTTTCATGCTTCTACGGCAGTTTTCATGTAGTTTAGTGAGCCATTTTCTGCTGGCCAGAGTGAGAGCTGGCTGCCACGAATAGGCAGGAAGATTCTATTGAAAGCGTGAGAGCCAACAGCTGACTGACACGAATGTTAACTAGCATGCAAAAAAAAAAAAATCGATAGCTGCATTCGTCACAAGTGGGAAAATTTAAATCTGCATGGCACTTTACTCCAATTGGCTCATTCGCTTGCTTAAACTCAACGTTGATTCTGATTCCGCAGAACTGGGTTGGGTGTGAAAAAATTATTTGTTGTTAACATTCTTTTTCATTCGGTTTTTCCAGTTACGAGTCCTTTTTTAAAAGCTGATTGTTTTGTGTTCATTTTGTTTAGTTCTTTTTTTTGTAACAGATTTAATGTTTAGTATAGAGCTTAAAAAAAAAAGTGTGAGATAGGCAAGAAGAAAGGCATGTAGCAACATCAGCACGGCAAAGGGCACTCCTTTAAAGGCAAGGAAGGGCAAAAATATTTTAAGTCAAGGATAGCGATTGCTGTATGAGTCGTACGATTTTTGAATCAAGCACGGGCAACGCCGTATATAATATTTTTTATATTTGTGAACAAATTCTAAAAAAAATCATTAAAATCCAATAATTATTTTTTATTTTTAATAGATTTTTAAAAATGGAACAAAAATTTGTCTATTTATAAGTACGCCTGGATATTTCTTGAAATA